GTGACCCAAAAGCAAAAATAATTTAAAAAAATTAAAAAAAAGAAAACTGAGTGAGATATTTAGGCTTTTTCAGCTTCTGAATTTTGACATGCTCTGAACCTCAGTCTGCTAGATTCTAGAATCATATTCTGGGCATCTGAGATTTATTCAAGAATATTTAGAGTAATATGAGAACTTTTATTTTTTTGAGAGGAAGAGTGACAGCACTGAAAAATTACCTTTCCAATAAATCAATGAACTTGATGAGTCTGTTTTTTTCTTTTCTATCAGCCCAATTATCTTTCTGTTCGTCAACAGTCTACTAGAAAAGCCCCCTTATCGATGTGATGGCTCCCTTCTTTCTCTTTCTGCACTAGATGCTGCTTTTGCCTCAAATGTCCCGTTTTCAACTCCAGCCCCATGTACAGCTGTGACCCGAGCTAGACCCACATTGGGTAGAAGTTAACTGCCTGAGACATGCAGGATAATTCTCCAGTTTAAAAAAAAAAATCAAAGCTCGCTCACTGCTTTGAATTTTTGATATGCTTTGATTCTTAGAGTATGGTCATTTAGTTTACAAAGCGTTTGATTTGAGTCTTCAGCATAACACGGTAGAGGCGATACCATTTTCTTCATTTTAATTGAGATAACTAAAGTTAAGGAGAGTCTCCAGGGAGATCGGGACAGAAAAGAGATTTGAATGAAAGCCTTTTAATTCCCTCTGCATATATAAAATTAGTCCAGTTTTACTATACCACAGCCATCACTGCCGTTGGCCTCCGTACCGTTACTCCAGATAAGAATTTTACAAGAACGTTTTTAGCGATAACATAAATCGTATGTTTTATAAAGCACTAGAGTACACAAACTGTTTTAAATCATCCGTAGTATGACTATTCTAATCATCACTATTACTCTTTTGGTATATTTCCAAGTAATTTTCTGTGTATCTACCTGAGTCTATTTTGACATCGTCTTTACCCTACTTTCATTATTTTGAGTGAAATAAGATGTGGTCTTTTCTTATTCTATTTAAAATTCTACTTGATTGATTTCCATTGGCCTATTTTTCCTACTGATTTTTTAAATAAAAATAAAGAAGTAGTCCTTCCTGCTTGAGTCACCTTTCATTTTGTCAGACAGGAGCCCCCCCCCCCCCTTTTTTTAAACTGCTGTAGGACTTACAGCAACGGCATTAATCTGCTTTAAAATGACTAATTCTTTGGGCTGGATCAATAGTACAGTGGGTAGGGTATTTTCCTTGCATGCAGTTGATCAAGATTTGATTTCCTGCACCCCACAGGGTCTCCTGAGCCCACCAGGAGTAATCTCTGATTGTAGAACTATAGGTAAGCCCTGAGCACCGGCAGGTGTGGCCCCCAAACAAACAAAAATTGACTAATTCTCAACTGAACCACAATATCCTTTGAGTGAAGGTCCAGGAATTACTAGTTTAACAATCTCCAGCTGATTATCTTACATCATTAGGTTTGGGTGCACTCCTTTTGTTTTTCTCTTGTACTGATATGACAGTGGAAAATAGCCAGCCTAGATAGGTTAAAGACTCTTTGGGAAGGAAAAGATTAGAATTTCTTAAGGACACAAATTCCCTCACCCATGTGCCTTCACCATCTAGAATCAGTTACTTGGGATAAAGTATGCAGTCCTCTTTAATATTCTATATGCCTACTTGGAAATTCAGTAGTTATTTATACTAAACATCATCCTTTCATTATTCTTTTATATGCATATGCTCCTCCCAATTATCCAACCAGTCATTTATCAAAATCAGAATAGGAAGGAGAATAGGTACAGGTTAAGTTTTCATAAATTAAAACTTGTCTTAAACATTTATCATGTTAGATTAAATGGAGTAGAAAAGAAAGACACTTTTACACAATAGACCCTACCTTCATGGTAATTCATAGTCTTGAATATAAAATATGTGAAAGACTACCAAATCCTATACTGATTATAATCAAGAATTCTAGCATGTGAAATGAATGTTCTGGGACATAACGGAGACAGAAATTGAATAGGGAGTCTCCTCAAGGAAGAAAATGATGGGCTGGGGTGATAGGATAGCATGAAGAGGGTTTTGCCTTGTGAGCAGCAGATACAGGTCTGTTCCCCAGCACCCATATGGTTCCCCCAACCTCCACCAAGAGTGACCCCTGAGAGCAGAACCAGGACTAGCCCTGATCACAGTCAGGTGTACCCTACTTGATCACGATCACGATCATCCTGTTGTTCGTTGATTGCCTCGAGCAGGCCCCAGTAACGTCTCCTTCGTCCTAGCTCTGAGATTTTAAAGTGCCATATTCAAGGCTCTTTCAGGGTTAGGAGAATGAGACCCATCATTGTTATTGGTATTTGGCATATTGGGTACGCCACGGGGAGTTTGTCGGACTCTGCCGTGTGGGCAGGTTACATTCGGTAACCTGCCAGTTTGTCCAAAGTAGGAATGAGATAATAAGATGTACCCTACTCACCACCCCAAAAAGGGAACAATGAATGGGAGAAAAGTAGTAATAATTACATTAATTTAAAAATTCTATTTATTGAAAGTTTACCATGGGCCAGACATGCTTGCAGTGTTGTCATTGAGTATTTCCTCAAATTCTCATAGCACAATGAAAATATAGCACTGTAGCACTGTCCTCATGTTTTTCATCAATTTGCTCACATAGCCACCAGTAATGTCTCCATTGTGAGACTTGTTGTTACTGTTTTTGGCATATCGAAATACACCACAGGGAGCTTGCCAGGCTCTGCTGTGCAGGCGGGATACTCGCAGTAGCTTGCTGGGCTCTCCGAGAGGGGCAGAGGAATTGAACCCGGGTCAGCTGCGTGCAAGGCACATGCCCTACCCACTGTGCTATTGCTCCAGCCATTATTGAAAATATATGTAGATGATTATGAGACATATTCTCTATTCAACTTTACATAAGGTTAGAAATATTGATAATGTTATATTTATACTTTGTGAAGCCAAAATTTGAACCCAAGTTTGTTTGATTGCAAAAACCCCACTTCTTTCTACTTCTAGCATTACAGTAAGTTCTGATTGAGAAGTATTTTAGGTTGATAAAGAGACTATTCATATTATTTCAGATAAAAGCTACCTTGTTACAGGTCTGTAGACTTAGTATGGATTATAGTAATTGCCTTGCATGAGCCAGACATTGATTTGATCCCAAGTACCGGATATGGCCTCAGCACCACCAGGAGTGATCTCTGAGTACTGAGCTGGGATTAAGCCCTGAGCACTTCTGGGTATAGCCCCCAAAACATATCCTGTAAAGGCCTACCATGAATTGAGCAAGCTCTTGTGTCAAATCAGAGTGCAAGATTTACAGGCTAGAGCAATAGTACAGCAGGTAGGGCATTTGCCTTGCACACGACCAAACCAGCTTCAATTCCCAGAATCCCATATGGTCCCTCGAGCACTGCCAGGAGTAACTCCTGAGTGCCGAGCATTGAGTAACCCCTGAGCATTGCTGGCTGTGACCCATAAGCAAAAAAAAAAAAAATTTACACTGACAAATTATTAAATCCAAATAAGATATCTTAAGATTTTGGAAGGTCTTACATACATTAATGATGATCTGGTATACAGTATCTTAGACACTGAAGAACTATTACACATTTCTAACACAATAAAGGTAATATTTAGAAATGCACTGTGTACTAACATTGAATAAAAAAGTAGAAATTTGGTGGGATATAAATAGGTTTTTAGGTATCAACACAACTTATTCATGATGTAATTATTATAAACTAGATACCTGGTATGAAAAATAACAGGTGTATTCAAAGAGAATGATTACTTATTATGTATTAGACAGGATAAGTAAAAAAAATTAGTGATAAACTAACCAGAGAGACTAATTAGAAGATAAGAATTGAACCAAAACATCTGATTTATTTTGATCTGTACACATACACACAAAGTAATATAGAGAGAAGTTATGAAAATCAGTGAAATAATTAATTTCTTAGGTATTGTGAGTTTATCTCAATCTAAACTTCATTTCTTCATTTATAGCTCCAACTACCTCGTCTCCGTGACCTGCTTGTTTAAAAACTAACCTTATCTTTTCCATATTACTTATCCTTACACTCCCGTATAACACTGGTTATCTTTCAACTGGCCTATGACAATAATCCAAATTTCCTTCTCTACCACTTACCTATGATCTATTGTTTTCTATAAGGGATTGATTTTGTTATGTTTCTTTTGTTTTTGTTTTCCTTCTATAGAGCTAGGGTATCTAACTACCTAAAGTTTAAAAATTCTTTCTCAAAACCGTTCATTGCAATATTTTCCTTGAAATGTTATTTCATACTGTCAGATACAGGTATGGCCTCTGCTAGAAAAGCAAATGTGTAAGAAACGTGGCAAGCAAAGAAAAACAATGGAAAATAACTTGCAACTTAATTCACATAAATGTCAGTCTCTACTCAAGCTTACTGAATTTACTGTGATTAAAGTTTCTCTGATGAATAAAATGATTCGGGACCTTCCTTTTTTATTCTTGAAATAAAGAGTAGAAATCAAATGCTATTTGTGGGAAATTTATACAAACTATGAAAACAATGCCTGTTGCAATAGGGAAGGGAGAGAAAAGATTGATTTTCTCCAATCTCTTATTTGTAAGCCCAGAGAAACAGCCGAGCTGCTAATATTTATCACCTTTCAAAATAAAGTCCCTTGCAGTAAGGAGATGATACCCATAAATAACTATACATTCAAATGTTTTAATGATCATGAACTCTAATAGAACAAACATAATATTTACTTAACTGTTATCTTTGCCCTTTTCTGAGCCATAAAGTTGTAGCTTGAACTTTCTTTTTGTTAGATGGGTGATGGATGTTAATGTTGAGAAAAAGAAGGGTCTTCCTAATAAGTAGATTCACTCCCAGCAGTGGTTCTTCAGAACTGGCTATGTTTCTGGGATGTTTATCTGGGGATCTATTTGTCTTCTGCTGAGCTTATGTGGGATCTTCCATTTCAGCTATCTATGAACCTTCCTGTGAAGCCTACAAACACCTTGGCCAGACATCAAATTACTACTGGATAGATCCTGATGGCAGTGGACCACTGGGCCCTCTGAAAGTCTACTGCAACATGACAGGTAAGGATGCTCTACTCGTGTTTTAGGAAGATTGCTTCTCAATCTGTTCAGACTAATACCTCCACTAAAATGTGTTTCTTCTGCTCTACATTCTTATCACCACATGCAATCAAACTAAATATTGCCGGATTTGTTAAGGGGAAATGGGGAAGTATACCTCTAAAGCAACAAAACATCTACAAGTTGTAATTTTGAAAAGTCTACCTTTTGACTTGAAACTGGAATTTCTGAAAAACGATGAAGTAGAAAAATCCCCCAAATTCAAATTGTGCAGTTCAAGTGCATAGCATGAACTGTTATGAGATGCCCTTCACAAGTAACCTAGTTGTAGTTTTATTTCATGTTCAATCTGCTCTTTCATTGTTTTGGAAAGATAAGAGATGCCCCCAATCTTTCCGCTTCCCTTAGACAGTTTGGATCTTTGTGAACACTGCAATACCATTCTAGAAATAGCAAAATTCACAGGTTGCTTACCTACAATTGGTGTGGGGTTTTCTACTTGGGAAGAGAACCTAATTTTTTTAGGGCTGTATCACTTGTATCACTTGTCATCCTGTTGCTCATCAATTTGCTTGAGCGGGCGCCAGTAACATCTCCATTCATCCCTGTTGCATGCTATTGTAGCCCAATGGCATCTGCTTGCTCCAGAAACACGAAGGGCATCAAACCATTCATTCAGGGTCTTGACGAAGAAGTCCAAACATCTCGTAGGTGGGCAGCCAGGTGTTCTTTTGAAGTCTCGTGGAATCTAGTTGGTAAAGATTGGGCTATGAAATGAAATTGTGAGTTCTTATAAACTCTCACAATAGTGTGTAAGAATTAATCTCTATGATAATAACAGATTGTCTATTAGACAGTAACACTTGGAAGTATCTTACCCTCCCAAAACTTAGAGGGGAATACAAGGCAGGCACTAATTATTGGTTTTAATATTTTTTAATTTTTATTAGTGAGACATCATGAGGTACAGTTGTATACTTACAAATTTTTGTGCTTGGGTTTCAATTATACAATGATCAAGTACCCATCTCTCCATCAGTGCCCATCCTCCACCACCACAGGTCCCAGTATCCCTCCCACCCCCCATCCTCCCCATCCCACCCTGCCTCTGTGGCAGGGCATTCCCTTTTGTTCTCTCTCTCCTTTTGGATGCTGTAGTTTGCAAAAGAGGCAATGGGTGACAATCATGTTTGGTCTATAGTCTACTTCATTTTAGAAAGCCTCAGCATTCTCTCTGCCCTGCTTCTGCAAGGTTAAGATGATGTTGATAAGGATGATGTGATGGTACTGAAATTTGTAGGACACGAACTTTCCACTGTGTGCTAGATTTCCTGGTTAAAGTCTTTATTAAGCTTACCTGGGTTTATACCAGCACATGTGTCTGCAATCTTGGCTGCCTTATTAGTTTTATTAAATTCAATAAGTCTCAACATCTTTCCCTATGAAATAGTTTCAGGGCATCCTATCCAACTTTGGACAATTAAGAACTTATTCTCCTATATCTCCAAGGATAAAATGAAACAAAATCATAAGATATAGAGTCCTTATGTGGTGAAACACACAAATAAAATTGAAGTAAAGATGACTTTACTGTGAACTGAAGTCTTTTTTTTTTCAGTAACACAAATCTCATCTTTTTCAACATCTCCTTTAAATGGTATGACGGAGGTTTAGTTGAATTCAGGCTGAGCAGTTAAGGGTAGAGTATATTTTCTCCAGTTTCTTCTCTCATTCAATAAAATTCTTAATATCAGTGGCACCTCAGAGGCCAGCAGTCACTCTGGGGCCTTTGTTAGCCAAATCCTTGCTTGATCTGGAAAGAACAGGAACTGAACATCAGAAGAAATCATAGAAGCTTAGGGCATGACTCAAGCTGTCCAGATTTCAAGAGACAGTGTTCAAGGGGAAGGAATGCTGACCTCACATAGTCTGTGAAGTCTTGATAGATCATTCTGTCATGAGAAATACAGTGTCACTGTATTTCTGTCGAGTGACAAAGCTGTCCCACTTCTCAGTGACCAAATGTAATTAGATGTGATTACTATTGGATATAAAACACATTTTCAAAATGTGAATAAGACATATTTGGGGAAGAAGCAATGTCTTAGCAATAATCCACCTCTTTCCTTTCTCCTCAATAAAACAGTGACATGGGAAATAGTTGACTTATATAGGCAAGTGAAGCATCCTTACTGAAAACCCTTCTTACTTGTGAAAGAGGGACCTTAATGTAATTTAATGTAAATTTAACTCAAAAGTTAAAATCACTCTGTTGAAAATCACTTTTGATTTAAACCTATTTTTTGCAAGTGTGCACTTTAAAATCACTATTAAGGTTATTGGGCTTGAATGCCCTGATTGGCTAGGGCTTCAATGACCACTTCCGTCTCAACAGAATCCAAGGCCTTCTTTAAATCAATGAACCTTAAACAGAGCGGCATCTTGAACTCCCGAGAAACCTCAATGAGCTTGGTTATCGTGCGGATATGGTCGATGATGCTGAATCCTTTGCAGAACCCGGCTTGCTCGCATGGTTGTCCTTCATCTAGTGTTCTGCCAATCCTATTTAGGATGACTCGAGTGAACAACTTGTAGATGACAGACAATAGGCAGATGGGCGATAGTTGCTAATGTCATGGATGTCTCCCTTCTTGAACAGTAGTACGGTCCTGCTGGTTTTCCATTGGGACAGAACCTTGCATTCAGACAGGTAGCAAGTGAATTGCCGAGCCAGTGTATTGATGAGTACTGACGGCAGGTTCTTCAGGTGTTCGGGTCTGACCTTGTCTGGGCCGGGTGCTGTTTGTTTTTTTACTGACGAAATGGCGTGTCGGATTTCGGAAGGGAGAACGTTGGGAACGACATATCCATCCTGTGGAATTTGGTATGTCGGCAAGTGGACATGGCTATCAAACAGATTTGAGTAGAAGTCATGGATAATCTTCTCCATTGCCGTTCTGGAGGATGTGATGGATCCATCAGGACGTCGGAGGGTGGTCATCTTGGTCTTGTAGTTGGCGAAGGACAGGCGGGCATTATGAATACTTTTCCCGGCTTCTGCCGCATCTACCAGTACTTCTGCTCTTCTCTCTTTGAGGTCTTCCTTGATCGCATCTCTGCACTGCTTTGCAAGCTCGGACGTTAGCTTGTGGTTGCCTGAGGCATGCGCCAAACCACGCTGGCAAATTAGCTCAAGAATTTTCGAAAATAGGCGATTTTTTGTGGCTATCTCTCTCTTGATGTTCCTCGCACATTCATGGAGGTGCTGAACCAGTCGATCGTATTCCTCGTCAATGTTGTCAACAATGGCATCTTCCCATGTTGCCGCAATAGTACCAAAGAGTTCCCAGTTGGTGGTCATTCTGGGAGTTCTCTTTTTGAACTTTGCAGCCCTTTCTCCCCGCTCTGTGAAGTAGAATTTTGCACGAAGGAGACGGTGGTCTGATCCCATTTGAAATTTTGGGACAATAGCGACATCAGTCAGGCAAAACCGTCGATTGAATATGATGTGGTCTATTTCGTTGTGGAATCGTCCACCGGGAGACTCCCATGTCCATCGTTTAGATTCTGTCTTCTGGAACTGTGAGTTACCATGAATGGTCTTTGTCGACATGATGAACTCAGACAGTCTCTCACCCTGTTCGTTCCATTCTGGGCCATGGGTCCCGATGTGAAGTTCTTCCGCTGATCTTCTCGGTCCTATCTTGGCATTAAAATCACCCACAATGATCTTGTAGAAGGTGTGGTCTTCTTTATAGAACTTCTCTAGCTCCATGTAGAACTTCTCGATTTCTCTTTCATCATAATGAGATGTTAGTGCGTAGACAACGAAGATAGCAACTGCAGGCAGTGAGCCACATCTATTCAAATGTAAACGTCCGATTCGGGTTGTTAGGCATTCGAATGAATCAATGCTCTTGGCCAAGTTTGTGTTGACAAGGACACGGATGCCTCCAACACCTCTTTTATCGCATGTTCCGAGGAACAATTCTTCTCCAGTGTCGAAAACGGCGTGGTGAGATTCGTGCCTTCTTGTCTTGGTCAGACCAATGATGTCATACTTGATCATTCGTGCTTGTACCATCAGGTCCTCGATGGATGCATCTGATGCCAGCATACGTGCATTGAAAGTACAGATGATCATTTTTGTCTTCCTTCATTGTGGCAGCCTAGGTCGGCCTTGAGATTTTGTCGGCCTCTCCTCTCTCATCCTTCTCAATGCTGCCATGTCGGTGAAGTCTTCAGGGTCAGGTGAATGAGACCAGTTGTAGTTACTGGTTTTGGCATATCGAATACACAACGGATAGCTTTCCAGGCTCTTCCGTATGGGGGGAATACTCTCGGTAGCTTGCCAGTCTTTCCGAGAGGGATAGAGGCTTTTGGGGTGACCTCTGATCACCCTTGTAGGTGTTACCATATTTGAACCCTATCAAATACAGTACGACAATTCCGAAAGATGGGTATTTAGTGTCTTATGATGTGTCGCAAAGCGGCCGCGCGGGTCCGGAAAGCGTCCTGAAGAGTGGTGATGGCTGGGTAGTGGAAGTAGTGTTGATAGTGGAAGTCTGTCAGTGGGGAGATACATCAGGATCCTCCGTGAGCTGTATTGTGGATTCACTACCAAGATCTCACCATTCTACAAAGAAGTGATCGTTGACCTCAAGAGAGGGATGAGGCAGGGTGATACCATTTCACCGAAACTCTTCAGTGCCACCCTCGAGAACATCATGCGACGACTGGAATGGGAAGGAATGGGAGTGAAGATAGATGGTCGGCAACTACACCACCTCCGCTTTGCTGATGACATTGTTTTAATAACACCAAACATCAGCCAAGCGGCACAAATGCTGGCCGACTTTGACCGTGAGTGTGGAAAGGCAGGACTACAGCTGAATCTTACGAAGACAATGTTTATGAGAAACAGCCTTGTTCCTGACACCCCATTTGCTCTCAATGGAATGACCATCTCCGAATGCAACAGCTATGTGTACCTAGGTCGA